CGGGGGAGAGGTGAAGAGAAAAAAGAGAGAGGGGAAGGGAGGGGGAGAGGGAGGGAGGTGAAGAGGGTGTTGTGGAGAGCTGGATGAAGCCGCGGTGAGATTAGTTCATGTATAGTCTCCTCTTTTCCGAACTGGCTCATCTCTCATTTCCCGGACACTCTCAAGTTTCGAGTGGATCCCCTCTCTGCCTCGATTTCCTCTCCCTTCCTTGACGTCACGGATCTATTTATAGATGACCTTTTTTACCAGTGTGTCAGGAACAAGAGCTCGTATTTTTAAGTTTCTTTTTTTGTCAAGTCTTTTACGGCGCTCGCAACTGCGAAAGGTTATAAAAGAGCGCGGGACACACCCAACATTTTCAGTTGGTAGGAAATTTTGAATTTTGCCCAGGTGGCGGCCGAAGCCTACTCTTATCGATTTTAGGCCACCAAGGGATCTTTAATGTGCGCAACTAGCACACGGGAGCTCCGAGATTTTTGGCCCTTGTCCGAGAAGGCTAGGTGTATATCTTTCCTACCAGAAGATCAGGGGTGTGGCTGAAAGACAACAGTAAGAAGGAGCCAAGGAGTAGCAGTAGAAAGGCTGCAAAAAGAGTCAGGAGCCCAGAGGAGGGGGCAAAGGAGGTGAGGGGGTGGGGGGAGAAAGAGGAGACGAAAAGCAGACGACAGAACATTGCTGGCGAACAGGAAAGAAGGTGAAAGGAGATAATTTTAGAGAAGAAAATTTTTCGGTCGCTACCCGGATTCGAACCCGAGACCTTTGAATGAGAGGCGAACACCTTAACCTCTAGGCCACGAGAGCCCCCGAACAAGCACTTACTAAAAAAACCGGGTCATCATTTCCGTTAACGGAAGCTGTGAAAATGACGTAAGTCTTAGATCCGGCCGACCCCGCTATATATGCGTGCAAAGATCCGGGGTGTTGACAGTGTATGGAATGCTGTCGACTGTGTATGGAGTGCTGTTGACTGTGTATGGAGTGCTGTCGACTGTGTATGGAGTGCTGTTGGCTGTGTATGGAGTGCTGTTGGCTGCTCTGTGCGGAAAGAAACCTTTGTTGAATTTTGTTTAGTTTTAGTAAGAATTTTACAGCACTTGCAACACAGTAAGGGGATATAAGTGCCGACGATTAGAGGTGTTACAAGAGAGTAACAAACATAAAAAAAGAAGGAGGAGAGATAAGGACGATAGGTGTTTAATAGAAGCAGCAAACCACACCAGAGCACCCGCCAACCACCCACTTTGTTGAATTTAGTGGAGTTGTTTTTTTTCTGACTTCCCGAAGTGACTGCCAAGGCTGTACTGTTGTGAAGGTTATGAAGGTTAATATATTCCCTGATCGTGGGCCAAGACTCGGAAAGTTCAACAACAATTGTTTCGTTTTTCCCGCTGGGATGCGCTTTTCAAGGTAGGCCTAATTATTTTTCCAAACTTTGGGATACAGAGAGCTAATGTGTTTTTTTCTTTTTGGATTGGGGGGGAGGGGGTGGAAGGGGGTGGGTAGTTCCTTATGTTTTTCTACTATTAGTGTAATGTTTATTTATGTTTCATTAATTACCATTGCTGTAAGCTCATTCAACAAACAATTTTTAACTTCTAAGACACACACGCGCGCTCATTCACCCACATACACACGCATTCTCACACATACACATACACATACACATACACATACACATACGCATACACACACACACAAACACACACACACATACACACACAAACACATAAACACAAACACAC